ATCGCCCCTTAAATGAGTCTTTAAATAATGCAACTTCTGTACGTCATCCAAAGAATTGTTGTTGTGTATCAAACTAATAAACAAATCGCGAAAACTAATCCAGTCCGCATAATTGCCAGAGAAAATCGGTAGCTCTATTTTTGGTAATTTAACAGACGAATGTATATTTATGTGCTTTGATTGACGTTCAGAATTTTCGACAGAACTACAAGTTGACATATTTAATTTTTTTAACAATTCTTTCAGTTCCGTTTTCAAATCAAGATACAACTCTTTGGTTGTCTCGTATAAATTAGTCGTATTATACTCCGACCTTTCAAACTCGGTCGGTTTAACCGAGCTGACAATTTTGACATGATTGTCAGAAAAAGATAACCATTCCGTTTCCAAATTTTCTAATCTTGTCTCAACGTAAGAAACTGTTATTCTATCCTTTGCAGACTTCTTAAAGTTTACTTTAGCCTTGGCAATGGTAGAATATAAATTACGTTGCACATTACTTAACGCTTCCATGATGACACTGACGTTGACGATGACAACTTTAAGTCAACGCTTGTCAATAACAAAATTGTTCAAACACTCACGTCACGAAGCGGTCTGACGTCGTCGCGTCAATATATGGACTCCTTTGCCAACACTGCTTGCGTATATTTTCCAAGTCCAATTCCGCTATAGGTTAAGCGGTGTCCTGGTAGCGCCATCTAGTTTGTCCAAGTCCCAACATACTCTTCCTTGTATGTAGTATCTTGAAAGCTTGAAATTTTCCACCGTCGGACCACAGTACACTAGTCCAAATCCGGCTCGCTAAGGACCATGTAAAGCAGTCTCAAAAAGGTCTCCCTCTCACTGGAGAAGTATCGAGTAGTCACAATGAAACACTGGTTATATCTTGGTGCGAGTCAACTTTATTTAAATGCGATCGGCAAGTCGATAAACATACAAAATAAATCTATATCGTGATCGAAACAATATGTTCTGCCATCTATTGATATAATTATGGAAACTTAATTGACATAGCGTTTGACACACTGTCTTGGTCAAACATAATGACAAGGATGACGATATGTTTTATATAGAGTTTTTGCTCTCAGAAACACACGATTAATCTGTTGGCTTTAGGCCTCAGGCATGACAGTTGTCAAACATAAGTAATACATCTGCTAGTGACAACCAAATCATGTTACAATCTCCTTGTAATATTCATGAGGAAAAAGAAAATTAAAAGCAAAAAGAAAAAGCTTGAC